CCTCCTCCATTTCTCCGTCCCTTCAGGATTTTGGGCAGGCAAACACATACGCTTGGTGTGTTTTCAAGAACTGCCAAGTCTAGGACTCGAATCACATGGTCAGCCAGCAGTCCCAACACCAGGCTACGGGGTGGTCCTCTTTTTGGTTTGTTTGTTTTTTTTGCCACAGAGTGCAAGTAGAGAGACAGAGGGAGGTAAAGTGAGGAATCACTCCCTGGAGGGAATGGCCACACTGTAATCCCTTCTTCTCCATTTTCCTATAGGCATTTTGGTATGCATGCACACATGCCTGGTGTGATTTTCAAGGTGACATGTCTGGGATTCAAACCACCATCAACCATGTGGGAATTTAGAGACTTAACTACCAACCTACCTTCTGGCCCCCCACCCCTTTTATTTTTTGGAGACGTTTTTGGTATAGGATGCGTGTGCTTGCTGGAAAGACAGAGGAGAAACAGATAGAAAGTGAGAAATCACCCTGCAAGGGAGATACCCAGGTCACAGTCCCTTCTCCTCCATTCTCCTCTCAGGGTCTTGGGCATGCATGCACATACACCCAGCATAAGTTTAAGCCGCTGGGTCCAGAACTCAAACTAGAGTCGACTCCATTGGAGTTCAGCCATAACCATTATACCATCTGTTGGTCCCTTTTTAAAAAAATTGATACCCCAAATCTCCATTTGGGGGCCAGTAAATGGCATAGTGGTTAAGGCACTGGACTCCATGTGGGGCGATCTTGATTCTGGTCCCAGACCCAGCTGCTTGTAACTCATGCTGGGCGCATGTGCGTGTGTGCTCAAAATCCTGAGAGGAGAAGGGATTGTGGTATGGCCAACCCCACTGAAGGGGCAACTTCTTGCTTTCTGTCTCTCTCTGTCTCTCCAGTGAGTGCATCTACCCTATTTCAAAAATCTGTCAAAAAACAAACAAAAATGAAACCAACATCTCCATTTGAACAAGCCGAGTTAGAAAATGCCCTAGGATTACTGGTTATGACTACCAAGGGTAAAAATTCATTAAGTTGTTTTCATGAAAAATGGCATGCAGGGACCAGCGGTTAGCGTAGTGGTCGCAATGGTTATGTCGCTGGACTCCCACATAGTCGACCGCAGTTCACGTCCCAGACCCAGTGGCTTAAACTCACGCTGGGCGCGTGTGCGTGCGTGCCCAAGATCCTGAGAGGAGAATAGAGGAGAAGGGATTGCAGCGTGGCTATCCCCCATGGGGGGTGATTTCTCGCTTTCTGTCTCTCTGTCTGTCTCTGTCTGTCTGGCGAGTGCACGCACCCTATAGCAAACACCTCTCCAAAAAAAAAAAATTGGCATGCTTCACAAATACTGAAGTAATGGTACAATAACTTCCTACTCAGCCAGCATCAGCAACTGTCAATGTTTTTATAGTCATTTTATTTACCCTTCCCTCCCTTTTTGCTGAAGTTTGAAAGTGAAATTCTCATGCATGAAAGAAACTGGAGAAGATCAGAGTATACCATGTTCAGGGATGTTTTTGCCTACAGCTTTGTCTCTGGTGCTGTTACTAAAACCCACTTGTTGGTTCAAAGGTTCAGCACCTTGTCTGCAACACAGAATGACCCAAGGGAAACTGTAAGCCCCATTTCTGCTCCACTCCAGGCTGAAATTGAGGGTCAGAAGAAAAAACAAAGGACAGCAGACCAGCAGGTAGCATGGTGGTTAAGATGCTGGACACTCCCACATGGCAGACCACGGCTCAAGTCCTGGACCTGGTGGCTTGCTTTCCCACTTCCTCTCTTTCTCTCTCTGTCTCTCTCTGGTCAAATTAAAATGAATAAATGAAAAAAAAATTTAAAAAAGAAAACAAACAAAGGACATAGCAACAGAATCCAAGTAGGAAGACATTAGAAAAGGAACTTTCAAGTGCTTTCTTGTACAACTTAGCTGTTCAGGTTAGCATATAATCATTTGAACTTCCTAATAAAGTTGCTTTTCTTTAGAAAGAAAAGAACATAACCAGTTAGTGCTGTTTGTCTAAGGGTACAACTTTTCCCTTTAGCACACTTTTCTTTATATTTCCTCAGCCATTGCCCAAATTCTGTTGTGGCCCTGGGAATGCCACTTGCTATGGCCTCAACTAGAATAATCTTCATTTTTCTCTGAGCCTCTGAACAAGGAATTGGTCATTCAACTCTTCAGCTCTCTAGGGATCCCATGAAAGTGCTTCAGCCAGTTTGTGAATGCCTAGAGAACAAAGCGAATATGCATTACATTTGTTTACTATCTAGGGCTGGGGTCTTCAACCCCAGGGGCCGGGTCTGAGTCCTGTCAGGAAGCAGGCGTGCAGCAGGAGGTGAACTGCAGGCAAGTGAGGAGAGCTTCATCTGTATTTACAGCCTCTCCCCATCACTGCCTTACTGCCTGAGCGCTGCCTCCTGTCAGAGCAGCAGCGTTAGATTCTCACCGGAGTATCCAGATGGGACTCTCTAGTAGCAGGAAAACAAGTTCGGGCTTCCACTGAGGCTGCATTATGGTGAGTTGTACAATTACTTCATTATATATTATAATGTTAGTGCACTGTAAATGCACTTTATGTAATCTACTTGTATCATCCCCAAACCACCTCCCTCCCACCTCCCATCCCCCATCAATGGAAAAATTATCTTCCACAAACTCCTTTCTCTGGTACCAGAAAGATTGGAGACCACTGATACCGGGAGTTCCAAAGTTTCTATCACCTCCTCATGGTGTCTACTACAAAAAGTTAAGAACTTCTGCCTCTACCATATCTCAAAAGTACATCAAACATACTTCCTCATGCTTACCCTTTAGCTAATTCTTTGTGTCAAAATCCTGAGCTTGGGGGGACCAGCAGTTAGTGTAATGGCTATGTCACTGGACTCCCATGTAGTCGACCATGGTTCGAGTCCTGAACCTGATGGCTTAAACTCACACTGGGCGCATGTGTGTGTGTGCCCAAGATCCCAAGAGGAGAATGGAGGAGAAGAGATTGCGGTGTGGCCATCCCCCCTGGGGGGGTGAATTCTCGCTTTCTGTCTCTCTGTCTCTCTGGTGAGCACTCACACCCTGTAGCAAAAACCTCTAAAAAAAAAAAAAAATCCTGAGCTTGGGCCAGCCCAGTGGCATGGTGGTTGAGGCAGCTGGGTCCCACATTGCCAACTGCATGATTCAAGTTCCGGACCCGGTGGCTTGAGAAGCACTCTGGGTGTGTGTCTATGTGTGCCCGAAATCCCCAGAGGAGAAAGGAAGAGAAGGGATTGTGGTGTGGCCATCCTCCTGGGGTGGGGTGGGGTGATACCTCCCCCACCCCCCAGGATCCTTCCATGTTTTCCTGCAGAATTAAGCAGGCCACTTCCCTACTGCCCACATTCTGTCCAGATGGCATCCACCGACAAGTACTCATGAGGTACCCGCCCTGTGCCAGGCCCTGCCCAGCGCTTACTGAGGGGCAGTGTCTGCTATCCAGCCCTTAGAAGAAGGCAAGGAGCACCCTAGAATCCGGCAGAATCCTTAGAAGAGGGCAAGGGACACCCTAGAATCTGGCAGAATCCTTAGAAGAGGGCAAGGAACACCCTAGAACCCCGTAGAATCCTTAGAAGAGGGCAAGGGACACCCTAGAATCCGGCAGAATCCTTAGAAGAGAGCAAGGAACACCCTAGAACCCGGTAGAATCCTTAGAAGAGAGCAAGGAACACCCTAGAACCTGGTAGAATCCTGCACCCAAGGACATGCCCCCGTGGTGGCTGCACGGACGGACACAGAAACCAGCAGCGGCATTCAGCTCCAGAAGTAACACCAGGATCATTTATTTTTCTCCTTTAAATGTAAAAAAGGAGACTTTATAGAAAAAGAGAAATGTTCATTCGATCATCCTGGGCATGGTGACCTAGAGGCTCAAGTATAGATTTCCCCCACTCCAGTCACCCCAATGTGAGTGGCATTGAAAAACTAAGCTAGAATCGGAAAGTACGAGGTGGTCTCCAACAGCTCACTTGGCAGCATCTTACCTGTACCAACGTCTGTGGGGACACAGTGGGGGCCCGAGAAACTTCCATGCCGGAGAACTAACTCACCCTGAAGTCCCCCGTGGGACCCTCCCCTCACACACAGAAGGCAGCGGAGTGGTTATCAAGCGTGCTAGTTTTTCGACACTGGGCACTATTTTATGGTGACTGCGTTAATAGTAGGGACCTAGCAAAACGTAAGTAACCCCGCTGTTACAAAGGCAATGGGGGAAAGTGGAGTCTACGTCCAACTTGACGCAAAAAGATACTTCTAGTTCATCCGAGAGGCCACTCTGACGGCGCCGGTCCTGCTTCTGTAGGTGAAGCGCGCTGTCGTGGGATCCGGAGCGGCAGGGCGGTAACCCTCCGACCCCGATATCAACCGGGAAGCTGCCATTGAAGCCGGAGGTCGCAGGGATCAAGTGAGAACGGCCGCGCAGAGCGTCACGCCGCTGTCCCCCAGGTGCAGCGCGGCGGCGCTCGGGCGACAGGTGTGCCCGCGGCGTCCTCGCCTACGTAGGGCGGGCCCGGCCGCGGACGGGCGGCGCAGGAGGGCGCGGAGCCGGCGGGAAGGTCAGCGTCCTGCCCAGCGGGGCGGGCGCCTGAGCC